TGACAACACCGCCCAAGGCGGTGACGGACAGTACGGTGACCACCGTCCAAATACGGCCTGACAAGACGCACGTACGATTCTACCCACTACGGGATGAGATTCACGACGAAGGACGAAGGCCTTGACTTAGAGGCCATCTAGACCGGCGGGAGCCACAACCCCGACCCTCGGGAACGTGGCTCTCGGCTCCATAAGCCAGCCGAGCGGTCGATGACCCGGGGGCGGCCACTAACTCTTGTATGACGCAGTAGGAAACCAGGAGGCGATGATGAAGACCACGGTGGAGACCACGTCGCACAGGATGGCTGGCGAACCACCACCGTGCCTATAGTGCCACCACGGCCGGCACAGTAGCACCACGTCACACCATGCCGCAACGTGGCCACAAGACCATGACGACAACCGCGCCTAAACGTGCACCACAAGACGACGTAGCTTGCAAGCCAAGTGAGCTAGGTCCTCCCTTAGACTCACGACCCTTTGGTCGGGAGAACCTTCTACTTTGTACATGCCTGGCCCCGGACTCTATATAAGGGCAGCCAGAGCATCCATCTTGGGGATCCTTTTTGATATTCACTCGTTCTTACACCGTAGAAGGGCTCCTGAAGCTTCCCTTTGGGCAGCCCGTCTCCTAGCTCTAGCTCTCTTATCTCTTCCACCATTCTTGCACCCCTCCATTGTAAGAACTTTAGAGCATTCAAGCGAGGAACACGCACTCGATAATCTCTGAGACTAGACGTAGGGCTCCGGCCTGAACCAGTAAAATCCTCGTGTCTTTTGGATGCTACCATCATCTTCCTAAAGTAGTGCGATAATCGTATAAGTTTACTAGTCCGGTTTACAAAACACCGATAAGGTGGTAGGTATGGATGAAAACGGTACGGATATTTATTCGACCATCCGTTCGACCGAACAAATATGAACACTTATCTGGATAGTTACTCGGATATCCGTTTTTTTTCGGATACGGATACTAAAACGAATATCTTAGGTGGATATCAAATACGGATGTAATATCATCGATATCCGGCGGATATCGGATAATCCGGATAAGTATCGGATATATCCGCATATTTAAAAACGGATATTATCCGGATATTTATTCAAAATTTAAAAATCACAAATTTGAACCATCCAAACTATCTCAAATGGAAAGTTGACCAAAACAACAATTGTAGATCTTGATGAGTTGAACAAACTTGGTATTCAAAACTTTTCAATTTGAAGTCATTTAGAGTTCATAATACTAGAGTCAAAGTGTTGTTTTTTCATTTGACCAAATTTGACTTGGTCAAACTTGCTCAAATGAGACAATAAATGACCTCAGATGAAAAAACTCTAAATATCAAGTTTGATCATCTCAGCAAGATATACAATTGTTACATAGCTCATTTTTCCATTTGAGAAAGTTTTATCAAACACTAGTCATAAATTCTTGAATCTCAGACTTTCTGAAACTATGTCACACACTTGTGAAATTTGAACTATATTTTGTTCAAACTTTCTCAAATGAAAAAATAGCCTATATAAGGATTGTATATATTGATGAGATGAACAAATTTGGTATTCAAAACTTTTCAATTTGAGACAATCTAGGGTTCCGAAAACTAGTTTGTAAACATTGAAATTTAAAAATCACAAATTTGAACCATCCAAACTATCTCAAATGGAAAGTTGACCAAAACAAAAATTGTAGATCTTGATGAGTTGAACAAACTTGGTATTCAAAACTTTTCAATTTGAAGTCATTTAGAGTTCATAATACTAGACTCAAAGTGTTGTTTTTTCATTTGACCAAATTTGACTTGGTCAAACTTGCTCAAATGAGACACTAAATGACCTCAGATGAAAAAACTCTGAATACCAAGTTTGATCATCTCAGCAAGATATACAATTGTTACATAGCTCATTTTCCCATTTGATAAAGTTTTATCAAACACTAATCACAAATTCTTGAATCTCATATAGACTTTCTGAAACTATGTCACACACTTGTGAAATTTGAACTATATTTTGTTCAAACTTTTTCAAATGAAAAAACAGCCTATATAAGGATTGTAGATCTTGATAAGCTGAACAAACTTGGTATTCAAAACTTTTCAATTTGAGACAATCTACGGTTCCGAAAACTAGTTTGTAAGCATCGAAATTTAAAAATCACAAATTTGAACCGTCCAAACTATCTCAAATGGAAAGTTGACCAAAACAAGAATTGTAGATCTTGATGAGTTGAACAAACTTGGTATTCAAAACTTTTCAATTTGAAGTCATTTAGAGTTCATAATACTAGAGTCAGTCAAAGTGTTTTTTCATTTGACCAAATTTGACTTAGTCAAACTTGCTCAAATGAGACACTAAATGACCTCAGATGAAAAAACTCTGAATACCAAGTTTGATCATCTCAGCAAGATATACAATTGTTACATAGCTCATTTTCCCATTTGAGAAAGTTTTATCAAACACTAGTCACAAATTCTTAAATCTCATAAGGACTTTCTAAAACTATGTCACACACTTGTAAAATTTGAACTACAAAACTTTCTCAAAATGAAAAAATGGCCTATAAGGATTGTATATCTTGAATCCATGACCATGACTCCATGAGACCCATGAAGCAATGTGCTTGGCTATTTCTACTCATGGTGAAGATTGGTGCTTATATGATGTTTGATGTATGATGAGGAGTATCTTTATCTTATTTGTTGCTTTACTCTTTAGTCTTTGCTTAATCTAGATGGATTATGGACTCATAGAGTGGTGTAATGGTTTTATGCAATGATATATATATATATATCGCTTTTACTCAATATCCGAATAGATATTTGTATCAGGCCTTCTCCGAATCCGATTCATACCGTATTCGATACTCATTATTCGTATGTAAGGGTCAATCCGTGATTCGTATATGTATCCGAACGTTATCCGAGTCCGAATCCGAATCGAATAGAAATAGAAATATGAAAACAAATATGGCATTGAGTGATATCCGTTCGGAGATCGTTTTCATCCCTAGTGGTAGGCGGAGAAGTCGTTGACGATGGTGAAAAGGATGAAGAGAGTGCCCTTGTGGAACTTCATGTTGGTTGTCGAGAACGAGATGACGGTGAGGGCAAGCAGGACGCGAGGACCGGTGTGGCATTAGTGACGGAGATCATCAGTGACAACGGAGTGCCCTTGTGGAGCTTCATGGCCGCGAGGGGCGTACGCAAATGCAAGCAACGAGAAAAAAAATAAATCCTCGCGAACGGACACTCCAACATGAAAAAAGGACAAGGATGTAAGAGTAGATGGAAAGATAACATGAAAAAAAGAAATTTAGAAATAGGTTAGGGTCATCAATATAAATTTGTGTATTAGTTTTTAATATTTTATGAAAATATTAAAATTTGTTATCGTAGATGCGCGTGAGTAAAATTATATTATTTAAAAAACCACGTCCATCAATACGTATAGACACTGCAAAGGCGGTACCAAAATGATCTAATTATGAAAATAGTTCCTTATCTATATGCTTTGAGATTTGTGACTTAAACATTATATATATAATAGAAACAACATATCAAAGTGGCATCTTGCAGATCCCGTAAGCCGTTTGTTTAATGTGCAGCCGGACTGCTCCTAATTTTCCTATCACTTTGCTCGATTAAACTACTAAGCCCTGTTTTGAATCAAACAACTAAAAAATAGTTAAAATGGATCCGAATAACCTAACTAATGGGTCAATTAACATTGATGTGTCTAAATAAATTTATTATGAAAATATATTCTATAACTAATCTAATGATACTTATTTGTATTATGAATGTTAGTATTTTTTTTATAAAAGTTTAGTCACAGTTTTAAACTTTTTGACTCCTCGAAAACTAGAATTGTATTTTTTTACGGAGGAAGTATTAGCTAGCTGAATATTAGCTGCTAGTAAATCAAAACAGAACCTAGGTATCCAGCTTGATCCGAATGTATGCAAATGTGAACCTCTTCCCAACAGTTTAAGTTGATTCGTAGTTTCATGGGCCAACAATCATCATGTTGGTATTGTGATGTTCGGCTTCCAATACCTCGTTGCAACAAACTCTTTGCGATTGAAGAGCAACTTTCATTTTAAATTTTGGGACAAGCCTATTGTTTTCTATACATATCATTTTATAAACTATTATCTTGTTTTCTTGCTAGTGTCATGCATTATAAGCCCATAGGAGCGCAGAGCGAATACACATTTGTGGGTGGGAGAGATCTATTGAATACTACATAGTAATTATTTTTAAATAAGGAGTTTAAATACAAAGTTATTGGATGTCTATTTTTTGTTTCACCTAAAAATGAATTATGGAGTTATCTTAGGTCTTATTTGTTTCATCCCTAATTGAAGATCACTCCTTTGGTTTAGGGATAAAAAAAGGGGGCTCAAGGAGTTCATCCCCTCTTGTGAGGCACTAGTAGTAGTAAAAAAAAACTAAAATCTGGTGGAAACCACGGCCACTAAACAGGGAGAAAAATCTATGGAAACTATATCTATAATTACACCATGTATATATGCGTGGATGCCTGACAAGTATGGGTCTTTACGATGCATGCGGGTATGCGGCTGATGGGCGTGGCCGCGTGAACGAACGTGGCTGGAGCAGAGTCTATTTTTAGCATAGGACCATTCCTTGGCTAACATTGAATTCTTGAAGTCCAACATGTGTCACGCTATGTATCCATAGGCAGCTATGGATACAGCATGCACAGATTTTTTTTTTCCTAAACAGTGGTTAGTGGAAGAGCACGACAAACACCCCCGCTCGAAAAGGGAGATGCACGTCAGCACGTGTGGGTTTGATTATGCGTTAAGCATGACTATAAAGCACCCTCGCACTAACAGATCCTTCCTTGTTCCCTCCTCTCCCTTTCCTTCCCCCGCCTGCTCAATTCATCTCGCGCGGTGACGCCTTTCTCCCACCGCCTCCCGACTCCCGACTCCCGCGGGCCCGCAGATCCAGGACACCCCGCCGCCCCCGATGAGCCGCCGCCGGGTCGAGACCTGCGACTCGTGGCGGCCCCCGCGGAAGAACCACGCCGGGGCGCCGCCGCTCCTCCGCGCGGGGCCCCGGATCCCCACCTTCGCCTCGCTCTCCGTCCGCGACGGCGGGGACGCCGCCGCGGCCGTCGCCAAGGCGGTGGAGGAGGTGGTCGTCGTCCGGGCCGACGAGGTGAAGGAGCAGAGGGCGGCGGTGGCCGAGGAGACGAAGTCGACGGAGCGAAGGCTGCCCCCCGCGGCGCAGCTGGTGCGCCACCCGCTCGCGCTGCTGGCGCTGGTACCCAACAGCGCCGCGCTCTTCGCCGCGGGGGCCGCCGCGGGCACTATAGCCAAGACCGTCACCGCGCCGCTCGACCGCGTCAAGATCCTTATGCAGGCACGCCACCCACCGCGCGCGGCTCTACCAATTCTTTGCTCGTCGGTCTTCATACTATTTGCTTTGCGGCTGACAGGATTTAATTTTCTCATTTTTATCTTTCTAGACGCATAGCGTGCGGGTGGCGGGAGACAGCGCGAAGAAGGGTGTTGGATTTCTCGAGGTAACCGATATGAGGCGCTTCTCTTTGCTGGATTTAGTTTCACTCTGATGCTGTGCATTCATTAATGTACCTTCTGAGCTACGCTTTCTGTTGAAAATTGAAGTCTCATGTGCTACGTTCATTCATTAATGTACCTTCTGAACTACGCTTTCTGTTGAAAATTGAAGTCTCATGTGCTACGTTCTTTGTGGAAAATTCACATCTGTGGATTGTGGAATATTTTGAAATACACTGAGTTTATAGAGCTTATCTTTAAGACTTTAACAGGATATGAGGTTCCTAATAACTTTCCTCCATCGATGTTAGGGAGACAATTTATACTGGTCAATTAACAAATGACTGCATTAGGAAAAGAAATCCTATGCTTAATAATATCAGCACAGGTGAGAAAATTTAAGATACATATCACTAATGGATTAATGGGTGAATCTGTTGCATATGTCCTTGGACGGTCCTCTTTTCTGAGTCCTGGTCATGTTGCTTTCTGACATGCGTATTAAAAATAGAGATCATCGAATATGTTCAGGTAGTTATTGTGCAATCTAACATGGGTACTAACGATGGGCTCGGATTGTAAAGCATAATCCTTTTTTTTTTAAAAAAACTTTTTGATAGGTGCTACCTGGATTTAAATGGTTACAGCTTTACATAATATATTGTATATTAATTATGCAGGCTATGGCAGACATTGGGAAGAAGGACGGGCTTAAGGGTTACTGGAAAGGCAACCTTCCACAGGTGCTTGATGTTCCCTATCATCCATGCTTTATCTTGCAGTCCTGTGCTGATTCCTATCCATCTCCATTAACTTGTCCAGGTCATTCGCATAATTCCTTACAGCGCGGTGCAACTCTTCTCGTATGAAGTTTACAAGGTCATAGTTACTCACGGTTACAGTTAGTCATCAAATTTTTTTACATTCTTTGTGACAGTGAGTTACTCATTTCTCTCTCTCACAAGTCACAATGTTACTGCTTTTAATTCAGAAAATTTTCCGGAGAAAGGATGGAGAGCTTTCTGTATTTGGGAGACTTGCTGCTGGTGCTTGCGCGGGCATGACATCTACACTTGTAATTTATTTTATTTGCTTACTCACTAGCAAATGTCCCTGTATTTCTGTTTTTGTTTGATATGGGAATTTTGAATATAGTTGGTTTCTTCTTTGGTCTTTAGTTTTTCATGGTACATGATTTTTATCAAAATCCACAGAATACCATCGTTAGCACATTCAGAACTTTCTACTTGTACTTGCTTATAGGTAACTTACCCACTGGATGTTCTCCGGCTCAGGCTAGCAGTTCAATCTGGACACAGCACTTTACCTCAGGTAACCACTCTTGTAAGTGCAAATTTCTATTTTTCTTTTTGGAAACTGGCATAGCCTGATGACTTTGTAGGTTGCTCTTAACATGCTGAGAGAAGAAGGGCTGGCCTCTTTCTATGGAGGCTTGGGTCCATCTCTTATAGCAATTGCACCTTACATTGCTGTGAACTTCTGTGTTTTTGACCTGTGAGATTCCTTCTACTGCATATGAATACTATGATACATACATGAAAGCTCCACACAAATTTAAGTATTTACCTCACATTTTTTATATTGCATTCTCTTTTGATGTACAAGAATGAAGAAATCTGTACCAGAGAAGTACAAGAATAGACCAGAAACATCTCTAGCAACTGCTCTTCTTTCAGCAACATTTTCAACTTTGATGTGTTATCCCCTGGACACTATTAGGAGACAGATGCAGATGAAAGGCACACCATACAATACAGTTTTTGATGCTATTCCAGGTAGTTATGCTAGCATTGCATGAGCTAATGGCTAATACATAACATACACTTGATCTTGATAAATCTGAACTATGTTATTTGCTATTTCTATGTGCTCATATGCTACTTGATCATGCTAAAACGAAACACATTTTTAAGTCTATTTCAATGCTTAATTCAGGCATTGTGGAGCGTGATGGTCTAACTGGTCTTTATAGAGGTTTTGTGCCAAATGCATTAAAAAATCTACCAAATAGCAGGTATATCCTTTTACACACCATGGCGACAAAAATATTTGGTATAGTTTTAGTAAAACTGAGAATGATTTTTTGTCTAACAACACATGTAAATACTCAGTACTCAGTTATTGTTGTAACCATGCAGCATTAAAATGACCGTGTTTGACACGGTGAAGACACTGATAGCTACTGGGCAGAAGGAGATGGACAAATTAATTCAAGAAAATGAGGAGAAAACAAGCTAGGAAAAGAGCCTTGTTCAATCTTGAAGGCTTTGGTAGAAAGCATGCCTCTTTGCATACTCCATGTTGCTATGTTTCCTCTGCTGGGGCCATATTTTAGGATCTAGGCAGCACATCTTTCTGTTCCTTTTCAAATAGGTCCAGTTTGCAGTGTTTTCCTGAGCATACACATTCATAGAGATAGAGGTGGCATTGGAGGGAAATAAAAGGCAATGAGATCTCTTTAGCTAGTGTCGGTAGCATTCCCCTACAGATCTTACTTATTTTAATAGAGGATAGTGTATCAATGTGACCGCCCCAGATTCCTTAAATATATACATCATTAGCCAGAACAATCAAATATCATGGCGCACAGGAGCAGGTTTTCCTTGAAATAGCATCTTTGTTTTGACGAACAGATTGGGTGTCTTGTACATCACAAGACCGAAGGCCAGATTTGCTTTCGAATGATTTCATCCAGTTTAGACTTTGGTTAGCATGATCTTTTGAGCATCAACTCGTCGTTTTTGTTAGTGAAGCCAGTTTGTATTAGAGTAGGAGGCAACAGACGAAAATTGTTGCTTAGGGAGAGGATCAGAGGAAAATGCATGTTTTTTTATATATTTATTGAGGTGACCTTATTACCTATGTATATTTCTTAAGAAAATAAGTCGGAATGATATTGGAGAAATTGCCCTGTTATTTCATTTTTCTGGGTATAAATTAAGGATGCATAATGTGCATTTAGTGGTGGAATTGAATACAATCTGAGTCCACATTTTTAGTACACTGCTGCAGTTGGGTGTCACTGTCAACCCTGTTTCTCTACGTCTCTGTTGTCCTGTCCAAAGCTAACATACAGCCTCTTCGTTGGGTCGTATTTGGCTTATAAGTAATAGTTTATTAGCCAATGAATAGTATTTTTCTTTTATATCAAATCAACCAACTATACTTTTAATCATGACTTATAAGTTAAACCAGTCCAAACGAATATGACGATATGTGATGAGAATTTTATACTAGATTTCAAACTCACAGACCAAATTGTTAAGAACCTTTAGGTTTATTTGGAACACAAGATATCCAAAATATAGGAATAGGAAAAATATAGGATTAAAATTGTATATCACTTGTAATTCTACATGAATTGAAATACATGAGTTGAAAATATAGGAAAATCTCTAATGGAGCATTTGGATACAACTCAAGAAAAACATAAGCATTATGAGAGAGATAGGCAAAGGAAGGTTTCTAAGAGGTTGGACCTCGTGTTAGATTTTCTCCAAAATTCCTATAGATTGATAGCTTGTTCGCTGGTTCGACAAGCCGTTTGTGCTGGTTTGTATGGCTGATTTGTTGTGAGAGAGAAACACTGTTAGCTGGTTGATAAGCCCTGACTGAAACCAAGTGTCTGTTTAGTTCCCAAAATTTTGCAAAATTTTTCAAGATTTCCTGTCACATCAAATCTTTAGAACGTATGCATGAAGCATTAAATATAAATAAAAAATAAAACTAATTACACAGTTTAGACGAAATTTACGAGACGAATCTTTTAAGTCTAATTAGATTATGATTGGACACTAATTATCAAATAACAACGAAAATGCTACAGTATCATTTCTAAAAAATTTCGCTAATTAAACAAGGCCCAACAAGCGAACAGGGCTGTGAGTTAGAGTCAGCGGAACCCATTCACAAAATTATAGACCACTATTTAAAAACTCGAAAAATAGAGCTCAGCCTAGAGTCAGCGGAACTCACTTGCAAAGAGTTCATAAAAAGTTTAGGCCAACCACGAAATGTTTGCACGATTATTTCTGCTTCTGTGAATTCTACCTAATGTTGAAAAAATATACAACGCCATACGACGAACAAATAAGTGGTAATACAGCTAATTTTATTTTAACAATACTACACAGACTAAAAATTGTTTTATTCGGAGCTTTGGCAAAGTTCACCAAATTTTGCCAAATTTCTGCCCTATTCGTTTGGCTGAGCTATGACTGAAAATATTATTAGCTGACTGTTTATTGATTAAAAAATAGTACTTACACGTCAAACACGTTCACCTTTCCGTGTGCCGTTTCCGTCTCTATGCGCGTGCCTACACGTGCCAATATTCATATCAAACGACTTTCTTTTCTGAAAAAGGAGTTCGCGAAGCGTCGGTTGCACGTTGGAGCTTCAAACGAGGAGCGCACGCCCACTTCTCCTGGACCCGTCCCACCTGCACCGCAGCCTACCGCACGCCACCATCCCCCCGGGCTCAGGTAGACCGGGTCCAGCCTCCGCCCCACTAACCCTGCCTCCCCCCACCTCTTTTTGAAGCCCAGAGGCGCCCCCGGCTCGGACATCAACCACTCTGTCTCTTTTTCTTCGCCCCGCCCGAAGGCCGAAGACGAGGAGGGGAGGGGAGCAGCGAGATCGCGCGCGCCTCCGAGATCTCCACGAAGGTTGGTGCCAGACCTCCTTCTGTCTTCCCTCTCCTGATCATGTTTCAATTCTGCTTGCTAGTAGGAGGTAATGCCGAAGATCTCGCTCCCGATCTCTCGCTGGTTCCAGATCTGTCGTAGCATGAGGGTGCAGATCTGTGCTCTTGAGCCTTCTGTGAGCGCAGAATGCTGCTCTTGATCGTGGCGTGTTGGCTGTTCGGATTCTTGTCGCCGTTCAATGGTTCAGGCCATTGGCCATCGGATCTCGGCTCCCGCGGCTCCGCGTGCTAATGTTGTTTAGAGCTGCATCGTTAGGAATGATTTTTTTTTCGCGAGTAATGGAGGGGCATTATGTTCTGCCTCGTAGATCTGTGTTGGTATAGGTCTGTGATGTTGTTGGCTTGGCGCGGTGTGGACTCGTAGGTGATCTTTTGGGCGGTGGCTTGTTCTTGGGTGAGGCGATCGCATTTCTCTTCTCTTGATATCAGTAGACCGTTATTGTTTGCATAAGATCTAAGTAATTCCGTTGAATGAAATACCAGCGAGACAAAATGACACTACACATTTAGTCGAGAGCACAATCTGTGATCTGGCGTTTCTCTATGCTGAGAGTCTCCTTTGTTGGTTTTGGTTGTTGTGCCTTCTATGTAATGTTGATCACGAATGCTGACAACCGTTGCTCAATGGCTTCCGCAGGTGTGGCAACATGGGGCTCACCTTCACGAAGCTCTTCAGCCGGCTCTTCTCAAAGAAAGAGATGAGGATCCTTATGGTCGGTCTTGATGCAGCTGGTAAGACCACCATCCTCTACAAGCTCAAGCTCGGAGAGATCGTGACCACCATCCCTACAATCGGTGAGAATCTATTCTATGCTTTTCAGTATATGTTGATCTTTTATATATATCTTGAGAATGCAAAATACTCCCTCCGTCCACAAAAGAATGCAATTCTCGTTTCTCGAGGAGTCAATCAGTCTGAACTTTGATCAAAATTATATAAAAAAATATGAACATTCATAATGCAAAATTAGTATCATTAGATTAGTCATAGAATATATTTTCATAATAGATTTATTTGGAGACATAAATATTAATACTATTTGCTATAAACTTGGTCAAACTTGAGCTACTTTGACAAACACAAATCCCATAATTACATTCTTTTCTGGACGGAGGAAGTAACTTTTATCAACAACAATATAAACAATGCTTGTTTGGAACTTTGGTTCTGTTTCAGAATAAGTGAAATTTCTCCCCTTTTTAAAATAGAGAAAGAACATTAGCAAATGGATCTAACAATCTGTGAAGCTCCCTTTGAATTAGACCATTACACAAAATACACACTGCATTACAATAGTACAACTATATGAATCACGAATTTGCCACTGAACCTAATCTGTCCACCTTGTTTTATTACTGCATGTTTTTACTTGGCTCGTAGATGTGGTTAGACAGTTTGTATCATTATGTTATATCCATCATGTATCTTTGATGCAAGTTATTAAAGGTTTTTGTGAAATGAACAAGACCGCAACACATTATTCTTGTAGGAGCAAAGCTGACAAATATTTTGCCTTCTATTTTGTGATTTCAAGGGTTTAATGTGGAGACTGTTGAATACAAGAACATTAGCTTCACTGTCTGGGATGTCGGGGGTCAGGACAAGGTACATACGAAAATATGATAGTATACAAAGCCTCTCTCTCCTAGTTCCCTTAACCTCGCTGCACTAGCCTTTTCTGTGCTGTATCAGAAAGATTGTTCAAAACATCTGATAATAAATCTAATTGTATTCAGGTTTAAGAGACCTTTAACTCACAACATTTTATTTTTCAAACCCCAGATCAGGCCATTGTGGAGGCACTATTTCCAGAATACCCAAGGCCTTATCTTTGTTGTTGATAGCAATGACAGAGATCGTGTTGTTGAGGCAAGGGATGAGCTCCACAGGATGCTGAACGAGGTATGTTAACCATGTTCATGTTTCTTGTTATATATTTGTTGCATGTTCAATAACATGCTGTCATTTCTAATTTACTTGGACTATGATTTTATGATTTTGAATTTCAGAGCGTTCTCTTCCAGCTATGTTCAGAATGATGCTTTGATCTATTTACTGCTGCTAGAGAAACTATATGCATCATCAGTGACTTTGAACATGCCAAATGTTGTGTACTTGTGTATAATCAATTAAATTTAAGTTTGTGATGTGAGAATTCCTAAGACTAAATAATTGCATGGTATCTGTACCACAGTATGGAATAAATCTTTCTCGGTCTGACTTAGGGGAAACAATAATAAATTTTGCTGCCAGAATTACCTCTAAATAATTTTTTAGAAGATTGCCACAATCAGCTGGTTAAAATCTCATTTGCAATATCATATAACTGATTTAACAGAGGAGTATACACATGAACATGTCTGGATTATGTTGAGCTGGAATTATGGTCATGGCTAGCTGTAGGTACATTCAACCTGAAATGGCTAGTTGTACGGGAAGTATGTATGGAGACAGCAAATACATGTCTTGAGATTTGTTTTCTGGAACTACTGTATTACCCAGTAGAAAGATCCTTTCCATATGATTAATGAGTTTGACTGTATTTAGGTGCTCATTATTCTGGTTTCAGTTACATTTGGACTAAGCTGCATACATAAAACTCTCTTAGAATAATTGTCTTTTTTGGAACTTGCTTGGGACTGAAAGGCTATGTTGTTGTTGTTGTTGTTGTTGGGGTATAAGTTTTGAGCATTCATCCACATGTCACTGGCAGGATGAGTTGAGGGATGCTGTCTTGCTCGTTTTCGCTAACAAGCAAGATCTGCCAAATGCAATGAATGCTGCTGAGATCACCGATAAGCTTGGCCTCCATTCCCTGCGCCAACGCCACTGGTAAGATATTGTTGATTTGTTTCCATTGTCAGACTCTTACACGATCAATTTGTCCTGGCAACCGTCATATACAATTGGTTTCATGGTTGCATTGTCCATCTTATTCCCTGTATACCCAGAGTTGTATGAAACTGACTCTTGGTATTCTTCTATATAAAGCTTTTCCTAACTAAATATATTTCTTTATGTACGATAGCATATTCTTTGTGGACCAAGTATTTTTAATCTGCTGTGTTTTAATGCGACTTGTAGGTATATCCAGAGCACTTGTGCTACCACAGGAGAAGGTTTGTACGAGGGTCTTGACTGGCTCTCCAACAACATTGCAAACAAGGTACTGATTTCCTTTCCATGTGCCATTACCAAACTGCACACACTTGTTTGCAAAAATATTATTGTTTAATCAGCACTCCCATGATCTTGAAACAAATCGGTCCTTTTTTTTTTTTTGCTACGTAGCATTACCAAGACTGAAGGGCAGGGCTGGTGCAGTGGTGAGAGCTGTCTCACTGAGTCACCACGTCACGAGTTCGAAGCAGCCTCTCTGCAGATTTTGCGGGAGAGGCTTGCCTCGGTTTTTTCCTTCTCTAGACACCACTCACGTGGGAGCCTCTGGCACGGGGTCTGCCCTTTTTTTTAGCATTACCAAGAGCTTGTTTAGTTGGCGAAATTTTTTAAGAAATGGTACTGTAGCACTTTCGTTGTTATTTGGCAATTAGTGTCCAATCATAGTCTAATTAGGCTTAAAAGATTGGTCTCGTGAATTTTGTCTAAACTGTGTAATTAGTTTTATTTTTTATTTATATTTAATGCTTCATGCATGCGTCCAAAGATTTGATGTGACAAGGGATCTTGAAAAATTTTGCAAAATTTTGGGAACTAAACAGGCACAAAGACTGTCATGTACTCATGTGGCGTACTGGTATCCTTATTCTCAATGAATGCAGGCCTGATTGGACAATTCTGCGGTTTGATCACATGGCGAGGCATTTTCTGCAGAAACGGAGCCATGGTCACTTTGACCCTGAGACTTGATTATTGTTTCATTGGAATGTTAAGTATTGTATTTCTTTGCAAGGCTTTTCAGAGAGCTGGTTTGTTATGTTGCGTGATTACTCTCTAAGAAACTGTTCCGATATCAAGACAGTGTAATTGGCCATTGGCACTAGTAGATCGTTTACTGAGTAATGCAGTTTATATGAACTAGTACAAAGCGCACGCCTCTGCGCGCGTGTGGGTAAACAGTATGGGTGTGACACTAAAATTAGATGAGAAGTTAATTATGAGTAATAGGTAAATATATACCTAATTGAACATACTTTATGGAACATAGTTTTGTAGCTGACTAATTATACATTATAGTTGGGGGCGTGGGTGCAGAGCTCTTTAGAACCGTGCTCAATAGGCGTACAGAACACTATTTAGGGCATAAATACAGGGCGTATATAAGAGTAGGAAATAAGTAAGTAGCTGGGCAGAGGCCGTGGACAGATGTTGGGGTTATGTAATAACATCATTCAAAAGCGTATTTGTAGAAGGTGTTAACTAAGTAAAAGTTGTGTATTAGACATGTACTACAATACATGTCTAATATACTGTACATGTCTACAATACATGCCTAATACTGTGGTGCAATAGGAAAGCTTTCCTTCTAGCGTAGCCGTTGATGGTCCATCGTGGATCTTCTCAAGTTTGGTTCACGATCAGAGTGGTCGCCGGTGTGGCAGTTTAAGATCGTCAGCTGCATAGAACAATATCCACGGTTGCCAGTGTGACAGTTTAAGATCGTCAGCTGCATAGAACAATATCCATCATCAGATGGATTTAAAGTATACTCTCATCCGTCCCAAATTAACAGTCGTTTTGGGTTTTCATGTCGGAAATTTGACTAAATTTATAAAAAATGCATGCAACATTTGTATCTCTAAATAAATTTTCTATGAAAATAGATTCATCGATCTATCTAATGATATAAATTGTGTACCAAAAATATTAATATTTTTTTATATAAAAATAGTCAAAGTTATTTCTCAGGAAACGAGAACGACAGTTATTTTGGGACGGAGGGAGTACACCATATCGTTCAGTAGGTTTGTCATATTTTTATTGAATGTGAATGTAAATGAACAAAGATTTTGAGAACAACTGTTGCTTTCATTGATCTCTTATATATATATACAGAGTGAAAAGGTGTATGTTTACACGGAGAGGCAACTGTTCATAGGAACAGTCGACTGCCCAAAGGACATGCCCCTTTGGGTGGTATCCTAACGCTAACAAGTTAACTACTAACCCTCTCTCTAATTGCATATCCTTTCTTGTGGATGAGATCACACGGTGAGGAGACGCCTGTTCACAAGTGAAGAGGCAGGTGTTGATTCACAACACTCTCCCTTGATCGAATCCTTCTTGAGATCAATACAGTTGTAGTTTGGATTCCTTGAAAAACCCTATAGGGAAAAAATCTAAGGAATATGTATGTATAGATATGCTATAAAAACTCCTTTAAACCTTATAGTAAAATAAGGAGAAAATAGCATATATGAGTGATTTAAATAAATTACTATATCATTGGTATCCCATTAAAAACCCCAATGGGGAAAATATTAGAGATACGACATATAGATTACTCCCCCAAAAACCATTTCAGGAAAAATATGAGGAGCAATATAAAGTGATATGTCGCTAAAACTCCTGTAAAAACCCAGTGGGAAAATTAGGAGAAAATATGATGACATATTATTGATATTGTCTCTTAGATAATTCATATGAAAAACTTTTTTAGGGAAAAACCATGGATGAGTTGTGAGGGCAATATGTGTCTTTTGATATTTCCAAAAAAAACCGGTGGGGAAAATAGGAAATATGACACATGCTTATGTTAATATTACGTCATTAAAAAAACTTTAACAAGAAACCTTATGAGTAAAACTTATGAAAGAAAAGAGTATAATATGATGCTGGTACAGGTCAACATTTAGGAGATGTCTCCCCGATTCTGGCAAATCTCGAAGTCGCCGCATACCAATTTCATGTACCAATTTTGAAACACAGAAGTTGGTAAGGACTTAGTAAATAGGTCAGCGAGATTATCACATGACTTGATTTGTAAGATGTTTATTTCCCCGCTTTATTGTAATTCATGGGGATAAAACAGTTTAGAAACAATATGCTTAGTGATATTGTTTTTTATGTAACCTGTTTGCATCTGTGTAACACAAGCAGAATTATCTTCATAGATAATTGTAGGTGATTCAATTGAACCAATAACACATGACTGTTGTATGTGGTTAATCATTCTGCGAAGCCATACACATTCTCATGATGCCTCGTATAGAGCAATAATTTCAGAATGATTAGTAGAGGTCGCTGTCAGAGTCTGCTTAGAAGACTTCCATGAAATAGCTATACCTCCATGTAGGAATACAAATCTTGTTTGAGATTTTCCGTTATGAGGATCAGATAAGTAACCAACATCAGTATAACTAATCATATTGGGATCATGATTTTTCTTGAAGAATAAACCAAGATCCTTTATGCCATTAAGGTATCTGAGGATACACTTCGCTCCCATCCAATGACGAGCGAGTTGGGTCCGCACTATGCCTAGCCAATAAGTTCACTATAAATGCGATATCAGGCCTGGTGCAATTTGCAAGATACATAAATACGCCAATAACACTGAGATATGGGATTTCTGGTCCCAACATCTTTTTCCCAATATCCCATGGTCTAAATGGATCTTTCCCTATTTCTAAGGAACGAACAATCATCGGAGTTTTATTAGGGTATGATTTATCCATATTGAATTTCTCCAATATTTTCTGGATATAGGCTGATTGATGCACTAAAATCCTTAAAGAACGGTGCTCAAGTTGTAAGCCTAGGCAATATTTAGTCTTACCCAAATCCTTCATCTCGAATTCCCTCTTTAGATGTTTGCGTGCTTCTTCTATATCCTTTGGGTTGCCAATGATATTTAAATCATCAACATATACGGATATAATGCAAAATCCCGTTCGAGATTTCTTAATAAAAACACATGGGCAATCATCATTGTTAGTGTATCCTTTCTTTAGAAGGAATTCACTCAGTCGGTTGTACCACATTCGTCCCAACTGCTTCAAGCCATATAATGACTTTTGTAGTTTTACACAATACATATTGTGATTTGCGTTTGAATTCAGAATTTGGATTCCATCGGCAACCATCATGTATATGTCTGAATCAAGTGACCCATATAGATATGCTGTCACCACATCCATCAACTGTATAGATAGATGATTTTGAACTGCCAATGATATTAAGTATTGGAAAGTAATTCCACTCATTACTAGAGAATATGTTTCATTGTAATCAATGTCGGGTCTCTGCGTGAACCCTTGTGCTACTAGCCTCGCTTTATATCTCACCACCTCATTGTTCTCATTCTGTTTCCTGACAAAAACCCATTAAAGCCTACAGGAAAGACTTTGGAAGATGTAGGTATTGCAGATGTGAATACCCCTCTTCTAGTGAGCGAGGCTATCTCAGCTTGAATTGCTTCTTTCCATTGAGCCCAGTCCGAGCGCTTTTTGCACTCTACCATGGTCTTGGGATTTGGATCATTGAGAAAGATTTCTGCAATTGCTACGGAGAAGTATATGTTGACAACAGTAGTCTTACGATCGTATGATTCTCCAGAATCTATGTAATTGATGGAAATTTCTTTCACCCCATTATTTGACTCAACATTTCCCAAAACTATGGAGTCAGGATGTTCCGATATCCCAGGATCAGAATTTGGATGCACCGTTGATCCGAGTTATGGATTTGGTCCTGATGTTGGATTTTTATCCACTATTGGGTGTCTACCAACTTAAGGTTGGCTTGGATTTACTAATTTGGAGGATTTAGCCCTCGATATCCTCAGACGCTTACTTGGAACATTATCCTTAGGAGCGGCCGTACTTCTCCCCCTCTTCTTTGGAAGTGGGAGTTGAATGGTTTTTATTGGTACCTCCACTCTTTTGGGCGCATTGCGAGCAGGATAAGATGATTTAGTGACACCCTTATAATCAGTAAATGCTTCTGGCAGGTTATTTGCAATATGTTGTAAGTTTATGATTTTCTGAACTTGTTGTTTAGTCTCTAGAGTACGTGGATCTGAGGGGGGGAATGCCTTGGGCATTCGAGATGATTTCCTGGCATTCGTTTTGGTACTTGAAGTCTCCCCCTAATGCCAGGAAATGGTTCTCATTAAATATGCAGTCAGCGTATCAGGCCATGAATAAGTCCCCTGTAAGAGGCTCGAGGTATTTGATAATTGATGGAGATTGATATCCCACATAGATACCAAGTTTCCTATGTGGGCCCATAGAGGTACGCTTAGGCAGTGAGATCGGTATGTATACAACGCAACCGAATTTTCGCAGATGGGAAATATTTGGCATATTTCCACGTAGTAATTGCAATGGAGAGACTGCGTGATATGCAGTTGGTCGCAATTGAATTAAGTCAGCAGCGTGTAAGACTGCATGACCCCAACATGAAGTTGGTAGGTTGCAATTTTGTAATAACGGTCTTGCAATGAGTTTAATTCTCTTAATAAGAGATTCTGCTAAACCATTTTGTGTATGGACATATGGGACAGAGTGCTGAACTTGAATTCCCAAAGCCATACAATAATCGTTGAAAGCCTTTGAGGAAAATTCAGCAGCATTGTCCATTCGAATTGATTGAATTTGATGTTCAAGATTATGTGCTCTAAGTCTAATAACTTGAGCAATATTTTTTGCAAATGCATGGTTACGTGTGGACAAAAGACACATGAGACCATCTAGTAGATACATCTATTAGAACCATGAAGTACCTAAACGGTCCAGATGGTGGTTGTATGGGGCCACAAATATCTCCTTAAATGCGTTTAAGAAATTTTAGTGGCTCATTTTGGATCTTAACGGGCGATGGTCGT